GTGTGGAGCAGAAGGGGAGAGAGGGGGGAGGCAGGACGTGTGGGAGGGACTCCGGAGAGCTCCAGGGGAAGCAGCGAGGTCACCAAATCAGAGCTGGCTTTTTAAGATCTGTGTGAGCAAAGCAATTACACAGGGAATTTAATCCAAACTTTATTCAACATCAAAAGAAAATCTATTACATTCATTATTTTTCATTTTAATAGACACTGTCAATAGCCCTCTAAAGTGACTGCACTGATTTATACTCCTGCCAGTAGGGAGCACACATTACTTTTTTGATGTTGTTATTTAGTTTTCTAAATCTTGAGTAATTGATATTTAGGAAAAATGTGTCAGTTACAAAGAAAAATAATAAACTCAGTGAATCAACCACACAATTAAGAAATAAAAAACAGTACCCCTCAGAGGTAATCAGTACCACCCTGATTTTCTGCTGTATATTTCTTTGCTTAGAAAAAGTTTCCCATATGTAATTATATCTTCAAATGATTTTTTTAGTTTTGCCTGTTTTTTGCACATATAAAAATATAATCATACAGTACATACTCTCTGGTGACTTGCTTGTTTTTGAGATTTATTGATGTAGATGCATATGGCTGTAGGGTTTGTTTTTTTCCCACTGTATGACTATTTCACAATTTTTGTTTTATTGTTGGTGAGCATTTGGGTAATTTACACTGTTCTTGCTTTTACAAACAGTACTGATAATTTCTCAGTTATGTTGAGCCATATGTACTTGATATCTGATAATTTTTAACACTACAAAAATAGCAGTTTCATGTGGTTCAACTTTATACATATCTTCTGTGTATAGGTGTGAATGTTTACTTACACACACACACAACTTAATAATTTAAAAACAATGTTACCTTTCCTGTAGGAACATGTGCCTTTTCTCTTCAGCTCTATTACTGTCTATAATGATGGGAAAGTTGAGTAATCACTCGTGGCTTCAGTCTCCTTCTCTCTAAAATGAGGGAGTTTGACTTGATTCTGAAGATGCCACTATAACTTGGTGGTTTGATCATAAGCTATCTTTGTCCCAAAAGCAATTTATTGACGATCCTGGTAGCTCATAAATGTTGCTGATGGACCAGCTTTAAATTCATAGGCACTTGTAGGTGGAAGACATTTTAAAGAAACTGATGTCAGGACACTAGTGACTTGCCAAAGTCATGTAACTGCCCAAACCAAGACCAAGGAGCCCAATTCCCAGGCTATTTTTCCTGTTTCAGAAAGCGAAAATGTAAAGTACAAACAAAGCCAGTTGAAAATTACTATAAATGATATACAAAGATAAAATACTTTGAATATTTTTTCAAGTACAATTTGCTTATAGAGAATAATTTAAATTATCCGGTTTATTACACAGAATAGTATATCTGGTTTCTAAGAAGTCAATGATTGAATAAAGCTACATTTTTAATCATTACAAGATATTTTTAGTTTGAGGGAATCGTTGACTCACTATCTATTCTATGGGTTAGTTTGGATTCAGCAAACATTCACCCCCTTACCCTCACAATGTGGGCTGAGTACTCTGCCCCTGACATTGGGATGGAAGTAAGTTGGTCACTAATGGGACATCAGAGGTGACATCGGCAGAGGTGATGTGCAGAGAGGCTCCAAATTCACTGTGTTTGGGTTTACTCTCTTGAACCCCTGTATTGATCAGGAGCAGAGCTTCCCTGAGGAGCTGCTGCGCTTTCAGCCTGAGCCCCAGGATGAAAGCACATGGGACAGAGCTGACCTTGCCCACTGTTACAGTGGGTAGGCAGGGAGCTATGAGCAAGCGGCATCAGCCATCCAGCCTGGCTAACTAGGAAGGGGCGGCTTCAGACACTCCAGGGAACAGCCGCCTCCTCTGCCAAGGAGAGGACCGGTCCTCCCCCAAACCCGGCCTTCCAGTGTCCCCAGGGAACAACTGGCAGTTCGCAGACGACCGGGGAGAGGGGTAAACAGCCCGGAGAAACTCCCCTGCTGAGGTGTGCACAGCAGAGGCCAGGGGGAAGCAAAAGTAGGAGGCAGGCCCAGGAGGAGCCAAAATGGCAAACAGACGGCAGGGGTCCGGCCTGGGAAATCTGGGGAAAAGACTGGGTGGGATGAAGGCTAGAAACCCGGGAAGACCCAGGAAAGGGTTGGATAGTTTGAGAGAAAGCCTGCTCTCGCGCCCTTCTGCGTAGCGCCCGTGTTTGTGTTGTGTCCCCCCCCCCCCGGGGAACAGAGACTGCGCTGGACTAATGGCACTGCAGCTCTGAGTCCTGGCCCTCCTCTTGGGCTGGGTGGGGACAAGTGTGTGCCTGTGGCCCCAGAGGCTGGCCTCCTTTCACAGTGAGATGGAGCTGAGCCACCTGGTCATGGGTGAGACATTGGGCACGGTGTACCTGGGGGCAGTCCTTTGTTTTTCCTCCAACAAATCTTGCCACAACACCTCAAATCCTCATATATGTGTATCCCTGAAATGCACTTTCTGTGATACTGTGGAAGAATCCTATTTCCTCCAGCAGCACCACCAGAAGGAGCCAAATCCAGGTGGACAGGTCGCCTGATGCAGAGACACCCAGGGGAACCCAGTCTGTACTAGTCAGGCATCAGCTTAACTACAGACACATAAGCCAGGACATACAGCGTGGGGCAAACGTAGGTTTACAGTTGTGAGTACAAGAAACACAGTTTAATATTGTATTATTATTTATTATTGTATTATTTTCCTTATGAAAAACTGTAAACCTACGTTTGCCCCACCCTGTATGATTGTTGTTTTAGCCACTGAGTTTTGGGTTGTGTGTTATGTAGCAATAGCTAACTGATAACCTGCCTATGTATATTAGCAAAGCAAAGAACGAATGAAATTTCTTTGGGTCCCTTAAATTTATTCTGCAGATATCAACCAGTGTGAATCAGATTATGTCACTCCCCTGCTTAATGCACCCCTCTGTCCCCCATGATTTTTTATTGCAATTATAACAAAATCTCAGCTCCTAATTCTGGACTTTTTAAAAAAAGTTTTACATGGTTTGAATCTTGCACACCTCTGATATTATATTGCATCTCTCTCTCTCTCTCGTTCTCTGAAACAACTCTTGTCATCTTTTCACTCATTGATTCAACAAATATTTATTGAATATCTATTATCTGTCAGGTATCTTCTAAAAACTGGGGGAACAAAAGGGCATTCCTGCTCTCTTATAGTCATTCTATTGAGGGGAAATAAGATAGACAAGTGAACTAATAACTATATAATATGTTGGATGCCATGGAAAATAGTAAAAGCAGCATAAAGAAATACTTTTTAAAAAACAACATTAAATGGAAAA